CAAATTAGGCTCCGCTGAGTCACTCTCAGTATTCTTTCAACGGCTCTGATATGAGAGCCAAGCTTTTGAGGAGCACTTAATCACTGAGCCACCAAGACTCCTGGAATGCACCCACCATCTATTAAATGCTGACTATATATCAAGCACCTGCCTAGTATTTTATGTTCTTCAACTTCATCCTTCCTAAAGCCCTCTGAAACCAGCTGACGGGGCTGAAGAGGCTAATTTGCCGAGCCCACACAGACTGAGACGTCAGAAGGAAGTCCTCCTCCCCCTAGCTCAAGAGTTAAATACAAGTTTCCCCCAAAGTAGAAAACAAGCACCTCACCAAAAAGCACATCTAAAAAGATGTTCTAAGAAAATAATGAATTACTTTAAAGCTTAAACAAATAAATAAAAACGTGTTCAGTATCTGAGAACTGAATCAATGATAAACCACTGCTGTGCGCTCCATACACTTGCTCACTGCCATCCAGCCAGTTCGGCACTCACAGCAGCGCTACAGGGCGCAGACTGCCCCTCTACGCCTCCCCACCCCACTCCACCCGCACTCCTGCTGGTTTCAAACTACTGACCTGCCGATTATGGGCCTAAAGTGAAACCACTACTCCACCAGGGCTCCTTGAGTAAGCCAAAATGGCTTAAAGCAAAGAACAATTACTATTAATTTGTATAGAAAAAAATTTTGAGCATTCCCAGACCCTAAAAAAAAATAGCCTCCCAAATTCTATCAAACAACATATAAAACCTAAAATAACACTAACTTTAGTGCTCACGGGCACAGTTCAGAGGCACAATAGCTTGATGCCAAGGTGCTGAGCACAGTGCCCCGGGAAGGTATGGGCCATTGCCCACAGCAGCTCTCTCTTTAATGGTGCACTGAATTCAGGTATAGCTATTAGTCTTTTTTGTGAAAGTGAACATCCTCTTCAGATTTCTTTTGGTTAGTGAAAACAGGTACTAACATAGGTCTCTGGTAAAAGCAGAGGCATATACACAGAACTTTTGAAACACAGGAGACACGATATATTAAGGCATCCTTGTGGTGCTGTTCAGTAGGCACTGGACTGCTGAAGAAAGGATAGAGGTTCAAGGCCACCAATCATTCTGCAGGAGAAAGAGGCTATCTGCCTCCGTAACGACTGACAGTCTTGGAAAGCCTAGGTGGGGGGCACTATGAGTCGAAATGAACTTGATGGCAGTGTGTAGTGGACATCTGTATACTAATCACTGTTCAATTTAATTCCAAATATTTTTTCTCCTTTATTATGATCTTAAAAAGGCACAAGCATAAACCTCCACAGACAAAAGAAAGAGTCTCAACCTAAATGTCATAAAAATATTAGCTGGAAAAAAAATCACAGATCCAAGTATAAAAGTGAAAATTATAAAGCTTCTAAAACAAAAGCTAAGCAAAAGTCTTTGTGACTTGGTGTTTAGGCAAAGAATTTGTAGACGTGATACCAAAATGCCCATAAAAGAAAGAATTTATATACTGGACTTCATCCATATTAAAAAGGTTTGCTCTGCAAAAGGCACTGATAAGAGAATAAGAAGAGAAGCTACACACCGGGAGAAAATATTCACAAATCACAAGGATCTGCAATTCGAGAAGAACCTGTATGCAGAATGAATAACACCGTCTCAAACCTCAGCACCAAGAAACAACACAACTTTAAATGGGCAGAAGATCTAAACAAATAACTCACCGAAGACAACATACGAACGGCAAAGAAGCACATGTAGTAATGTTCGGTATCACGAGCCAGTAAAGGGCTGTGCCTAAGACCATGATAGAATGTTCCAACACATCTATCAGAATGGTTGAAATTTTCTAAATTGTAAGTAAATGCTGATGAGGAAGCCATTATGCCAAAGTTTCACAAAACCAAAATATTTACAGCCATTAAGTCAATTCTAACAGTTCATCAGTTCCTTATAAAGTTATACAAAAATCTATCATATGTCTCAGCAATCCCACTTATAGGCTTAAAGAACGTTAAATAAATTATTTCACATCCAAAGGAATGAAACATGTGCCCACCAAAACTGTACACAAATGTTTATAGCAGTTGTATTCATAATCAATAAAAACTAGAAAGTGCATTATCCAAATGAATAAGCAAGCCATGGCACCTCCCTACCATGGAACACTACTCAGCAATGAAAGAAAAAAGAAAAAGCAGCAATGACTAAAACCCATGACTGTCTGGAAGTCACTGTGCGGAAGGGGACGATGCTCACAGGCTACACACTGTATGACGTCACATACGTGACAATCGCAAGAACTCAAAACTGCAGGGGCGGAAAGCAGACTACTGGTTGCCAGGTGTCAGGAGTTTTCAAGCTTGCATTCTCATCTGGACTCTCGGATTATTCTATGTGCAAACTTGTGTTTCAGTTATCAGCCCTAAATGAGTCATGACTCCCCAAAGGCAAAAGACTACAGGTAATGGTATATCAACACTGCCACCCAAAAGTCACACAACAGCGGGCATACAAAATGATCGTTTGTGTCTTAAAATGTTAAAAGGCTATTAGGGTGGGGGGGGGCAGGGATAAAAGGGAGCTGATACCAAAGACCGGAAGAAGAAAGATGCTTTGAAAACGATGGTGGCAACAATTGTACACGCATGCTTGATCTAAATGAACTATAAATTACTATAATATCTTTAAAAATTGTTACATATGTAGAACTCCCAGTAAAATGGGAAAAAAATTTAAGGCTATTTCTGTAAGATTATAAAGATGTGCTCATATTTCCATATTTTTTTTTGTTCAAAACAGAAAATGAAACAATCAGAAATGGTAACTTTTTGGTGGGGATAGAGGTTTATATCTTTCGTTGACTGAATTATGAACCATTTTTATAGTCTTCTATATATTTGACTTTTTAATTATTAGCTTTTTGCTGCTTACCATAGAGCACTTCTCCAGTACTTCCTCCTGGAACTTGAGGAATCGTTCCTGAACCTCAACTTCATTGAGGAAAAAAGCCAGGAAGTGAGTGAAGGGTTGCTTCCTTCTAAACGTATGCAAAAGAACATCAATCCGAGTCCTCGCGGAAATCACGCCACTGCGATGCTGGCCAGTGATTACTGTAAGCAAAGGAAAAGGTGTTAGCACGCCCAAAGACCACCAAGTCCTTGTGAACTTCTGACCTTGCCATCCCTAAGGAGCTAAAACACTCGTGTCTATGTACGTAACTGTGAACTTGGGATAGTGTCCAGGATAAGAAAGCTACTAATGTTTTGAATCTAAACAAAATAAACTTGAAAAACACAATCTCCTTAAGATTAACTAATGAATAAAAAAAAAAAAAGAACTTGAAAATCACAAAGCAAATCTTTAAAAATTCCTGGTAGGATTGTGAAATGAGCAACCAACTTCTGTGTTAAGTGATTTTATTTCCTAAAAATAGTTCAACATAGAATTACCATACAACCCCAAAATTTTGTTCTGTGCCATTGAGGCCGCTCCAACTCACAGCAACCCGAAGCACAATAAAACGCACCACCATCCTCACAATAGTTCCTAGGCCTGAGCCCCTTGTGGCAGCCACTGCGTCAGCCCATCTCTTTGAGGGCCTTTCTCGTTTTTGCGGCCCCTCCACTTTACCGAGCATTAGGTCCTTCCCCAAGGACTGGTCTCTCCTGACATGTCCAAAGTTGTTGTGATTAGGGCCCATGCAGTCCGTTTCTGTTTGTAGTGAGCCCTTGTGCAACACAAGACACTACCCAGAGCTGTCCCATCCTCACCACCACTCTACCTGAAGTCACTGCTGCAGCTAATGTTCTTTGCCAACACCCTAATTCAAAAGCATCAATTCTTTTGTCAGTCTTCCTTAGTCTTTGTCCAACTTTCACAAGCATGTGAGGTAACTGCATGTAGCACAGCTTAGGTCAGAAAATTACATCTTTGCTTTTTAACACTTAAAAAGATCCTTTGCAGCAGATATACCCAATAGAAAGTTGTTTGATTTCTTGATTTCTGCTACCATGAGCCCTAATTATAGATGCAAGTAAAAGAAAACCCTTGACAATTTCAATGTTTTGTTGATCATGATGTAGTCTATCTGCCGAGTTGTAAAGATTTCTGCTTTCTTGACATTGTGGTGTAATCCGCACTAGAAGCTGTACTCGGGATCTTTAGCCGTGGTGCTTCATAGCAAGGGAGGCCGTGTCATCTACCTATTAGAGATTGTAGTATGCGTCTTCCTCCAAGTCTGATGCCACATTCTTCTATGCCAGCTTCTCAGATGATCTGTTCAGCACACAGATTGAACAAGTATAGTGAAAGGCTACAACCCAGATGCACACTCTTCCTGATTTGAAGCCACTTGGTCTACATATGGCTTCTACATGAACACAATTAAATGTGAAAGAACTCTCATTCTAGGCAGTATTTTACATAGTTTGTTATGAGCAACACAAACACCTTTATATAGTCAACAAAATATAGGTGAACATCAATTATTCTCTGCTTTCAGCCAAGATCCATCCAACACTGACAATGATATTCTTTGTTCCCTGTCTCCTGAAACTGGCTTGAATTTCTGGAGGTTCCCTGTTAGCGTATTGCTGCAACCTTTTTTTCTTTTTAACTTTTTTTTTTCTTTTAGTGTTAGGGTTAAAGTTGGGGTTCGGGTTAGGCTTAGGCTTAGTTTTAGGGTTAGGTGTTAAGTAATAACACATGTGTTAAGGATTAAGGGTTAAGTGTTAAGGGGTAGGGTTAGAGTTTGCATTAAGGTTAGGTGTTAAGTGATAACACATAAATTAAAGATTAAGGGTTAAAGGTTAGGGTCAAGGTTAAGGTTAGGGTTAACACATGTCTTAAGGATTAAGGGTTAAGGGTTAGGGTTAGGGTTAGATGTTAAGTGAGAACACACATTAAGGATTAAGGATTAAAGGTTAGGGTTAGAGTTAGGGGTAGGTTTTAAGCAATAACACGCGTTAAGGATTAAGGGTTAAGGGTGAGGGTTAGGTGCTAAGTGATAACACGTGGTAAGGGTTAAGGGTTAGGCTAAGGTTAAAGTTAGTGTTAGGGTTATCTTTTTAACATTTTATTAGGAGCTCTTACAGATATGATTACATTCCATAGTACCATTAGATCAGCGGTTCCCAACCTGGGGGTCAAATGACCCTTTCACAGGGGTCAGCTCAGACCATGGGAAAACACATATTTCCGATGGCCTTAGGAACCGGTCGTTGGCTTTTTACACATACTGTCGCAAAATTTAGCAATGTAGTTTACTGTTGTTATAGTAAGACTGTTACCCATGCTACATGACAAAATTTCATTTATTTGTAATTAGAAATAAATATTTCACAATATATAATTACAAATTGTTTTGTGATTAATCACTATGCTTTAATTATGTTCAATTTGTAACAATGAAAATACATCCTGCATATCAGATTTTACAT